ACTATTAGTCTCTCAAGTTTGTCTCCATTATCAATTTTGTTCCTCAAATTTAATTTTTATCAAGTTAGTCCTATAAATTTAACTCAGTTACTGTTGGTCCTTATTTTATGAAAAGGAGGTAATACTATCAGAATTTGATGACACAGATAATAGAATATTGATGCCAGTTATATAAATTAATAAAGAAAGTGTAATTATTTAGTTAAGAAAACAGATCCTAGAATTTTTAAAAATAGGAGAACAAAATATATGAAAGGAATTATAATGATAAAAATTAAACTTATTTGAGGGTTAATTGTTTTTATTTAGCTACATATGCATGTCAAGTCATCAATATACTTTACACATTAGATCAATTTGAGAGTTAATTTATGTTTTGAAACTTAAAGAGCTCACATGATAATTTAAGAAAACATAAGGGATCAAATTGATAAAAATTAAACTTGAGGGACCAAATCAAAAACTGGGCCAAGCTTGAGGACTAAAAGTTTCATTACCCCTATAATTTATTAAATTGTTAAAACATATCTATGAAGTTTAAGTTTGTAAGATCACCATTTTTAATTTCTTGCAGTTTAGCATCAAATAACAAAAATACAGAAATCCTTCATTGTCAACCAAAATAAGCAATGAAATTCACATATTAAATTTTCTTGGGTGAATTCACATATTGAATTTTAGATTAATGGAATTTCTAAACAGAAACAGTGACTTTGACATACTTCAACATTAATATCTATTTATATGAACACATTTCGAATATTGTCTCTCCAATATGAAATTCTGATGAGGGCCTATATCATATTTATGTGAAATATAACTTTCAACAAATTCACCTATTTAAATTTATTTCAATTAATATTTTAATTAAAAAAGTTTTAAAAGAAAGTTGTAAAATTAAAAGAGTAAACGTTATGGCGAACACTCCTGGACCCCAAGTATTAAATAAAATTATAACATAACGACTTTTGGTCCGTGCAGTATTGGCAATTGACAAGTAGAGGCTAGTAGACTGAAATAAATTCTTTGTTATGAAAAGACCAAAAGAATTTTACTAACACGATGGCAGTTTGGGACTAATTTCATAGACAAAACATATATGTCGCTCATATTTTAAATTTTGATTATTGACTTTTGGTATACAGAAAATCCTTCATTGTCAACCAAAATAAGCAATGAAATTCACATATTAAATTTCTTGGGTGAATTCACATATTGAATTTTAGATTAATGGAATTTCTCAAAACAGTGACTTTGACATACTTCAACATTAATATCTATTTATATGAACACATTTCGAATATGTCTCTCCAATATGAAATTCTGATGAGGGCCTATATCATATTTATGTGAAATATAACTTTCAACAAATTCACCTATTTAAATTTATTTCAATTTAATATTTTAATTAAAAAAGTTTTATGAAAGAAAGTTGTAAAATTAAAAGAGTAAACGTTATGGCGAACACTCCTGGACCCCAAGTCTTAAATAAAATTATAACATAACGACTTTTGGTCCGTGCAGTATTGGCAATTGACAAGTAGAGGCTAGTAGACTGAAATAAATTCTTTGTTATGAAAAGACCAAAAGAATTTTACTAACACGATGGCAGTTTGGGACTAATTTCATAGACAAAACATATATGTCGCTCATATTTTTAAATTTTGATTATTGACTTTTGGTATACAGAAATCCTTCATTGTCAACCAAATAAGCAATGAAATTCACATATAAATTTTCTTGGGTGAATTCACATATTGAATTTTAGATTAATGGAATTCTCAAAAACAGTGACTTTGACATACTTCAACATTAATATCTATTTATATGAACACATTTCGAATATTGTCTCTCCAATATGAAATTCTGATGAGGGCCTATATCATATTTATGTGAAATATAACTTTCAAAAATTCACCTATTTAAATTTATTTCAATTTAATATTTTAATTAAAAAGTTTTATGAAAGAAAGTTGTAAAATTAAAGAGTAAACGTTATGGCGAACACTCCTGGACCCCAAGTCTTAAATAAAATTATAACATAACGACTTTTGGTCCGTGCAGTATTGGCAATTGACAAGTAGAGGCTAGTAGACTGAAATAAATTCTTTGTTATGAAAAGACCAAAAGAATTTTACTAACACGATGGCAGTTTGGGACTAATTTCATAGACAAAACATATATGTCGCTCATATTTTTAAATTTTGATTATTGACTTTTGGTATACAGAAATCCTTCATTGTCAACCAAAATAAGCAATGAAATTCACATATTAAAATTTTCTTGGGTGAATTCACATATTGAATTTTAGATTAATTGGATTTCTCAAAACAGTGACTTTGACATACTTCAACATTAATATCTATTTATATGAACACATTTCGAATATTGTCTCTCCAATATGAAATTCTGATGAGGGCCTATATCATATTTATGTGAAATATAACTTTCAACAAATTCACCTATTTAAATTTATTTCAATTTAATATTTTAATTAAAAAAGTTTTATGAAAGAAAGTTGTAAAATTAAAAGAGTAAACGTTATGGCGAACACTCCTGGACCCCAAGTCTTAAATAAATTATAACATAACGACTTTTGGTCCGTGCAGTATTGGCAATTGACAAGTAGAGGCTAGTAGACTGAAATAAATTCTTTGTTATGAAAAGACCAAAAGAATTTTACTAACACGATGGCAGTTTTTGGGACTAATTTCATAGACAAAACATATATGTCGCTCATATTTTTAAATTTTGATTATTGACTTTTGGTATACAGAAATCCTTCATTGTCACCAAAATAAGCAATGAAATTCACATATTAAATTTTCTTGGGTGAATTCACATATTGAATTTTAGATTAATGGAATTTCTCAAAACAGTGACTTTGACATACTTCAACATTAATATCTATTTATATGAACACATTTCGAATATTGTCTCTCCAATATGAAATTCTGATGAGGGCCTATATCATATTTATGTGAAAATAACTTTCAAAAACAAGTTTATTCACCTATTTAAATTTATTTCAATTTAATATTTTAATTAAAAAAGTTTTATGAAAGAAAGTTGTAAAATTAAAAGAGTAAACGTTATGGCGAACACTCCTGGACCCAAGTCTTAAATAAAATTTATAACATAACGACTTTTGGTCCGTGCAGTATTGGCAATTGACAAGTAGAGGCTAGTAGACTGAAATAATTCTTTGTTATGAAAAGACCAAAAGAATTTTACTAACACGATGGCAGTTTGGGACTAATTTCATAGACAAAACATATATGTCGCTCATATTTTTAAATTTTGATTATTGACTTTTGGTATACAGAAATCCTTCATTGTCAACCAAAATAAGCAATGAAATTCACATATTAAATTTTCTTGGGTGAATTCACATATTGAATTTTAGATTAATGGAATTTCTCAAAACAGTGACTTTGACATACTTCAACATTAATATCTATTTATATGAACACATTTCGAATATTGTCTCTCCAATATGAAATTCTGATGAGGGCCTATATCATATTTATGTGAAATATAACTTTCAACAAATTCACCTATTTAAATTTATTTCAATTTAATATTTTAATTAAAAAAGTTTTATGAAAGAAAGTTGTAAAATTAAAAGAGTAAACGTTATGGCGAACACTCCTGGACCCCAAGTCTTAAATAAAATTATAACATAACGACTTTTGGTCCGTGCAGTATTGGCAATTGACAAGTAGAGGCTATTAGACTGAAATAAATTCTTTGTTATGAAAAGACCAAAAGAATTTTACTAACACGATGGCAGTTTGGGACTAATTTCATAGACAAAACATATATGTCGCTCATATTTTTAAATTTTGATTATTGACTTTTGGTATACAGAAATCCTTCATTGTCAACCAAAATAAGCAATGAAATTCACATATTAAATTTTCTTGGGTGAATTCACATATTGAATTTTAGATTAATGGAATTTCTCAAAACAGTGACTTTGACATACTTCAACATTAATATCTATTTATATGAACACATTTCGAATATTGTCTCTCCAATATGAAATTCTGATGAGGGCCTATATCATATTTATGTGAAATATAACTTTCAACAAATTCACCTATTTAAATTTATATTTACCATAAATGAATCAGAATTATAATTTAGTGAACAAGTTAAAGAATTAACTTGCATTGCAGGGCATAGGCTTAGATTATTTTCAGGAATCCAAGTTAAAATTATAATGATGTTTGTAGCAAAGAAAAAGATTATATAAATCAACAAAAAATTTCCACTTCAGACAAAGTTTATAAAAAAGATTTATATATTCAACATCATCACACAATTCTTTTTCTTTGATTTCCCCCCAAAACTTAGCACTCTAAACAAGCAATGAAGGAAAGAGAGGTCCTACCAATATTTTTTTTTTTAAAAAGTGATGATGTGGAAAATGAAAAGGGAGTTGCAAACAAGAATAAAAGCAAATAACCAATAATCTATTGGTTCAATAGCTCTCGTTTCTCTATAAAGAGAATTAAAAGAAAAATCTTCATGAAAATAAGTATGAAATAAATGAAGAAAATTATTTAAAAGAAAAACTATTGAAGAGACTCAAAAGAAAAGAGCATGAAAGGAGCAGGAAGGGCAAATCCTCACGGAATCAAGAACAATATTACATAGTTACCCCTGTTTTCTAGCCCAAAAAATAGAGGTAAACAGAATAACACTTCTATATTTGTTGGACACCAAAGTGTTGCAAATTTAACAACACAATTCTTATGCATGTGGAGCCATGAATCTGAACATGTAGTTAAGGGATCTAAAGTAATATGATATGAGATAGTGAAGATATAAATGTAAATAATGGTAATTCCATATTGCTTTCAAGAGCACCAAAAGTCCAGAAGGTAGAAAGCAAGACAAAGAAAACCCAATAAATGAAAAGGACCAAAAGGAAAAACAAATGTTTCTAATGTTGCTTTCAAGAGCATCAAAAGTCCAGAAGGTAGAAATCAAGACTTTTAAAATTTGGAAGAAATGTTTCAGGATCATCCTTTTTCTATAAACTTGTTAAACTATAGGTTGGAGATCAAACCCTTAGTTCCAGTAGCAGGGACATATTTATATGATATAGCTCTGAAATGAACTTTCCCAAAAATGACACGAACATAATAAAAAATTACATATTATGATCAGTTGAAAGTGTACCTTCAATGTTATTTTCACCAAGACCTAGCTCTTGAAGTTTTGTCAAATTTCCAATATTTCTTGGTATTTGGCCAAACAACTTGTTAGCAGCAAGATATATAATTTTTAGGTTTGTGAGATAACCAATTGTTTGAGGAATATTTCCTGCAACATGATAATTAAAAAACCCCATTATTATGAGTTCTCATGTGTAAGAAGATTATGATAAAAGAAAAATAAGTAACAAGCATAATTTTATGAATGCATTTTTTTAATGTTATTGTGATTATGGATCATAAATAATATGAAAAGTTTCTAACAATGTATATCAAAACTCACAAAACATTTTGAATAAAACTTACATATATAAACAAATTTAGAATTACTAACAATAATTATAATATAAAAATAATCAAATAAAAATGTTTTGCCTTCCACTAGTTAAGTTAAAATATTTCTTTAAAAAGATGATGTGCTTGTTAATATTATATTATTGAATTGTAGTTAATAATATTAACTTTATTAATATTATACTGCCCCTTCTTATTTTCATTCACTTATTATTTTTTTTCAAATTTTGTTGTTGTTTGTTTATATTTTTGTTATTTTTTTCACTCATCTTTATTTAACATTTGATGTCTTGAACTCGATTTTTTGAGTCATTTTCTTCCTTAAATGTAAAAAGCCTAACTAGGCACATCACAAAATGTGTTCATTTGGATACAAATGACTCAAAAAAAGTCAACAAAATGTGTATACCTAAATAGATAATGATCAACAAGTAGCATATGAACCATAGGACAATGAGACATTAAATTTTAATTATTCAGGGACAAAAATGACTGAATATTGAGTTTAGGACACTCGCAGAACCCTATGCTAAAAGTTTGTTGACGAAATCTTGAATCAAAATAAGAATATAAATATTGAATAATTTGTGACGAGAAAGAAGGGATTCAAATGAAAAAAATTATATTGTAAAGTTAAATGATAATACAAATTTTTTTCTTTATCACTTTTTGTCAATCCTTCACGTGAATCTTTGCACTCAATCACTATTACTCTTTTTATTTATTGTTTTTTCACCTCACTGAAATCACTCTCACTCACTCACTCACTCACTTCACTTTCTCTTGTCACATCACCACGCTCTTTCTCTTCCCATAGTAGCACCCACTAAACTCACAATCCAACATACTCAATACTTCCCCTCACTCTGATCACTTGCTGCGCGCGTGTACATCTTTTTTATATGCACTCTAAAATGTTAATATTTTTAAAATTATATAGGAGTTACAAAACCAAATAAAAAAATATGAGAAATATTTTAACATATTATTTATTTATTTTTCATTATATATTACCAATGAAATAAAAATATAATTGAAAAATATTTTATCTAATTTTAAATTTTATTTCTAAAATGATCAAATATAAAATAATCTAAAAAAGTTTAAACTACAAGCAAATATAAGAAAATAGAGGGAGGTAGGGGGCAAGAAATGAAAAATATTCATAGGAAAAATTTTAAAGTGAAGTTTTCTTTCTAAAATCTCTCCATTTTTTGAGAAAAAGGTTTGGAGGAAAAATATGAGGGTCTCACATATTATTTTCACCTCAATATTATATTCTCTCCCTCCCATTTTTCGGTCCTTAGCCAAGCATGTAAATAATGCAATTTTCTTCCCATTTTTCTCTGGTGCCAAGCATAGCAAGTGAAAACCAATACCTGAATTCAAAGTTTTTCGGGCAATTCTTGTTGGGTCTATGGTACCTAATTTTACTGAAATTTTAAATTTTAAATTTCTCCTTTGAATCCCAATAAATTTTAATAAATTAAAAATAAAAATAGAATTACTAAAATACTCATCATTTTTTAATAAAATAACTTCCCTTAACTAAATTGGATTTTTAGTAAATATATTTTATTTCTAATTTCCTTAAAGTCCTTTGAAATTTAATGAAACTTTCCTTACAAGAGACCAAACTGAAATTCTCCCCTTTTATATTCAAAAGCTTTGCAATGGGTTGAATTCTCAACAAAATTATAAAAGATTGAAAATTATATATAAAAATGGAATCCAATTTTGTTTTTTGAAGATAAGTTTAATCTAGCCTTGTATATTTGTTGATCCGTAATTAATAGCATTTTGACGGAAACCTAATGGTAAAGTTCTTCAACCTAACAAAAACTTTTGATACGTAACTTTAATTTTTCTATCCGACGTTAATTAGCAGCGAAATTGGACAAAATAATACCAACTTTATGACATTGAGAACAACTACTTGATCAACTTGATTTGTTACACTTAATAATTGTAACTTACTCTAACTGAACATATGATAATAACTGTATGAATAATTGACAAGATGATACGTGTTATTTCCTAACGACAGTTATTAGTTTAATTGAAGGTAACTTGGAAATACAAAAATCACAATAACTCATGATAAAAGAATTCTACTTTATGCCCTATCATTTAAAATCATGATGTACTAGAAATGTACCGCAAATTCTTATCATAGATGCTTTTCTTATTTCATTAGTCTTGTTTCAAGCTTAAAAAGGATAAGGATATAAAACTAGGTTTGTTATTAAATTTCAGAGGTTAGGTGATGTTAATCTAAAAATAAGGATAAAGACGTAGGGTCACTGATCTGTCCATCCAAATTTTACTTTCTATTCACATGTTAACATCATAAATTCTTTAAATTTTTATCTCTTGAAATTCTTATCATTAAAAACATAGTATATCTCATTATTCTTTTGGTGAATTAAAAAATAGAGGAAATAATTTATCTAAATCTTGAGTTTATGTTGCCATTAGTATATCGTGTTAGATAACTAGGAAAATTTAATTGTAAAATATGATATATACATTAAAATACTTAATCTAAACATAATATGACACTGACATTTATGAGGCTATAGTTAACTAGAATTTTTTTTTTAGAAAAAAAAAACTGCAAGTGATCTACAAATGTGATGATAGAATTATCAACTAAATTTTAAAAGTTATAAACTACCATTATACATACATACAAATATACATACATATATGTATGTATTTCAATATAACAAAATAAAAATTTCAATATTCTATGAGTGTTGATATATAATATATTTGAAAGTTGCATCTCGATTATGAAATGTTATATTTGGAGATGGGCTTATGCTTCAGCTACCCAATGTACAATGTCTTTTTTGTTTGTATCTAAGAAGATATTGGGGTGAGAAAGTTAAAAAAAAAAAAGAGCGACAAAAACTTTTAAATTTTGGCTATCGGGTTGTGCTTATTTTTCTCATTTTTATTTTTCTTTTTTTAATCAAATTCATAAAACTATTTACCACCACATACCCATTCCCCATACGATTCATTCAAACATAAATTCCAATTCTAATGATTTGAATTGCACTTTTTTATAGAATTAAAAACCTTCATATTTAAATCTGAAAATTATAGAGACCATTCTATATTACTATTATAAAATTTATATAAAGCTCCACAATTCATAAAAATTTAAAAGTACAACTCACCTTACACTTTGTGCAACATTCACGGGTCAACATTTAATTAAAATTATTTGCATTTAATTTTGAAATTAATTTTAAATTAAAATTCTAATTTATAAAGATTTTAAAATTAATTTAAACACTGATAAAAATAATCTCATGTACTAATTGAAAATCACGTATACTAAACTACTTAAATATGTATTATTTTTGAACTACTTTCCAAAAATATTCTATATGCACTTTAAAATATTAATTTTTTAATTATTTTGCAAATCCATAAAGGCAAATCCACTTTGGCAGCAAATCCATTTTCCTTGCTCTAAATGGAGATTCATCTGTTCCAAACTAACAAAATGCTTTACAAGACATCCTAACCAGCATTTCTAAAATTTTTGGAAAAGAAAATTTTTTGGCCAACCAAAGCTAAAGACTTATTTTTTTGTTTAAAGAATTGTTATAAAAGAAAATTCCACTCATAAACAAATTTATAAACAAAAGGAAAAGTAAGAAAAGAAAATGCATTTTTGTTCATCATAGTAGTAACACTGAGAAAACAACTAACTAGAGAGAGAGAGAGAGAGAGAGAGAGAGAGAAAACTATATATAGTAACTACAATATCATAACTTGATGAAAAATTACCTTGTAAATTATTATGATCAAGATATAGCTCTTGAAGCATATCCAATTTTCCCATATCTTCTGGTATATCACCTACAAAAAAAAAAATGCTTAGAGATCTATAATTCAAATTGTTCACAGATATATCTATTGAGAATGGTTCCCACGTATGTGATAAAGACATAAGAAATATGGCTTAATCCTACAAGTGTCCATGTATGATGAATCATTTTTATCAAATCTAACTTGTAGACCCTTATTTCCACTCGTGGGCCCATCTATATTTATATATATGATGATATAGCACCTGAATGAGCTTCTCTTTTCCTCATATGTATTTTACATCAAAGATTATGTTTCATATAAATGCCAATACATGCTGCCACATTAATCAATCTATACAGACCATCAACCAACAAAAACAATATTGTAAGATCCAAAGCTGTTGGTTCCTCTTATTCATTAATTAATAAAAAAAACAAATTTTATACTTTAGACATGTTCTTACCATCATCATTTAAAAGAACAATAATTAATGGTTACTTTTAGATAGTCTTTTAAATGTAAGACCAAAATTTCGCAAACATAATACTTTGAACCTACAAGTAAGTAAACAAATGGGACAAAGGTTATGACTCTAAGATGGCAGCTTGCGCAAGTCTATCAACAATTGCCAAAGATGCCATATATTAAGAAAGGAAGATATTGGAAGAATTACAACCAAGTCCCACATAAGGATACAATTAGTCAAAAACCTAACAACACATGCAAATTATAAGCAACATATGGAGCAGTAATTGTTTGAACAATTTTACATGGTTTTAACATAATGACAAAAGGAATTCTGTAAATCCTCTAAAGTGACAAATTGACTAGCTAGCTAAAAGAGGATTACAAAGAACATTCAATTATTTTATCTTACTCAAATAAAAAAAAATATTATCATCAATATATCATTGAAAAATAATAGTTACAGAATAATGAAACATTAATTTCCTTAGGGAAATTAATTTGAACAAGGATGTGAACTTTTGCAAAGCTGTTTTCATCAATGCACAAAATGCGTGAACTTTAATAATTCGAATACCCGTATAAAAAGGCAACAAGTTGGAAAGGAAAATCTTCAAAAAATCAACAACGCAGAAAAAATGTGTTTTGGATGTACGCAGCAAACTTACCCACAAAAAAATTATTTTTTCTTTTATTTTTTAAATAGCTAAATAGATTTTGCTGCTAAAATTTATATCATATAAAGTTTATAAATTTTTCGTTTCAACATGTTTGAGGACATGTTCGATAGATTGAAGGAATAGATTAAATCTAGATGAGATTTGTGAGGAATATATATTTAATAATGGGTAAATGAGCAAATTACTTCTAAACTTTAGGTCTAGCAACACTATAGACCCCTGAACTTGTTTATTGTGTAAATTATTTTTTCAACTTTTGAAAACAGTTTAGTATGGCCCTTACTATTAACAAAAGTTAACTTTAACTGCTAGTTAATTAAAAAAATGATAGAAAATGACCTCTAAAATTATTAAAAAAAAGATCAAATTTTTTTAGTCATTTTCTATTATTTTTTGGGTCCTTGTTTGTAATTTTTGGACCATTTTCTATTATTTTATGTCAACTAATAGTCAAAATTAATTTTTATTAACAATAAGGGGCTAGATTGCACTATTTTTTAAAAGTTGGGAAAACAATTTGCACAATAAATGAGTTCAAGATCTATGGTGCTATCAAATTTAAAGTTTAAGTGGGTAATTATCTCATTTATCCTTTAATAATTAATCATCAATATGAAAAATCTTCTTAATCACGTGGCTTCTGTTCTATATTATATGTAGTTGAGGAATGGACCGCATCACCAATAACAAGCCACAAAAATAACACAAAATTGATGAAAAGTTACATATTATAATTAGTTGAAAGTATGCCTTCTAAATTATTTTTACCAATGTTTTTTGGTATTTGACCAGACAACTTGTTTCTACTTAGGAATATAACTTTAATGTTTGAGAGAGCACCAACTCTTTTGGGGATATCTCGTGCAATATGGTAATGATAAAATGATTATGATGCATTTTTAATTAATAAAAATTATTTTTGAATTTTTTGATAAACTATTTTCTACAAAGTTAAAAATTAAAGTAAGGTGTATGTTTTGAAAATTATAGAGTGGTTTCAGTAATATTAATAAAATTAAAAATAAATGGATATTAAAAGTTTCTAACAATATATATCAAAATTCAGAAAACAATTATTCATTAAAAAAATTCACAAAACATTTTGAATAAGATGTTACATATATAAAAAAATTTACAATTACAAACAGTACGTAGTTATAATATGAAAAATGGGTGAAAATAGTGTATAATATATATAAACAAATTTACAATTACCAAAACAATTATAATATGAATTACGTACTTTTGTAAAGTTAATATGTTGTTAATACATTTTATATTTATATATTTGTATTTTTAAGTTTTATATTTGCTTTCAAAAAGTTTAGATGAGGTGGGTCCGAGGGTTCACCAGGGTGAGGGAAGGCCTTCAGGCTTAAAGAGAATTCATAGAGTTACTTACACATCACCCACCAACAAGGTATTTATAAGTTTTATATGATTGTACACCATCAATTATCTAATAACATTTCTCTCAAATAATAAAATTAGAAAATTATTTTCAAAAATAAGGATAATAAAAGTTAAAAATGAAAATTCAAATACTACAATTTATGTATATATCTATATATTTCTTTAAAAAAAATTCTCTCGCCCACCTTTGATTCTAATTTCAGGGCCAATTCAAATAAAAATAATGGAGATAGCTTGAAAATATAGTTATATCTAGAAATTGTCTTTTTTTTCGTGCCATCTATAAAATTCTTATGAGTGAAGAGCTATCAATTGGATAAATTGATTGCACATTTTAAGATCAGTCATCATATATTTGATTTATTTAAGTGGCAGATCCACATATGATATAGCTTGAACTTGTTCTTTTGGTATTTTATACCAAAGATTAATTTTTGTTCAAAAATAAAGCCCAAGATATGCCATACTGCCACTCTAATCATTCTATAAAGCCCAATCAAAAGTTGGTTCCGTACCCGCTTATTCCTCTTAATTGAAATTCTAATGATGTTTATAGACAATAAGAGCAGAATGCATGGAATGACATATATATATAGATTAAATATTTTAAAGTATATGACATTTTTATATATCCAACCATCTAATCTAGACTTATATATTTTGGGTTACATAAGTAATAGCATTTTGACGAAACATATTGGCATCTCAGTTCATAATTTCAAGTTGCAAAAGACAAGAAGTAAGAAAAAGAAATGATCTATAGCGAATTAAAATTTGCGTAAAAATTATACCTTGTAAATTATTGGAACCAAGATCTAATTCTTGAAGCGAAATCAAGCTTCCAATGCTTCTTGGTATGTAGTCAAAGAGTTGATTTTGACCCAAATATATGATTCTAAGATTTGTAAGATTGGCAATTTCATTGGGAATATCTCCTGTGTGATCACATTAACAAAAAACAAAAAAAAACAAAAAAAAAGCAGTGATATGAGTGCTTGTGTATAGATTATAGAAAATCATAGAAATATAATCTAACTTTATGGACATGATCATATATGGACAACATGTAGTATATAGATAGAAATCATATAAATTTAAAAACCATTAAAAAATCTCTTGCATTATGCGCTGGCTCCAAGAACCCAAGTGAAAAGGACAAAAAACTAATAACAGCATGAAAAATAGTTGTTCCTGACGGTGAAGGGAAAACTGAATGATGTTAATAATACACTATGTTGTGTTGAAAGCATGGTAATGAAGTGTCACAACAAAATTAAAACTCTATACAATTTATAGTTTCATTTATCATTCCTAATCAACATAATCAATATATATATGTTCTTCCCTTTCCAACAAAATCAACGTTGAATAAGAGATTGAATATAACTTATCCCAAGACACACTAACACCAACAAAAATATTTGAAATGATTTGGGAAAAAATATGAATTTACCCAATATAATGAAAGACATACCTATTAAAGAGTTGTATGACAAAGACATAAGCTCAAGTGAGGATAAGCCAGAAATAGTTGGAGGTATTTTTCCTGAAAGATTGTTCCCTGCTATGCGTAAAATCTTCAAGTGCTGAAGCCTTCCAATAGCAAGTGGAATAGATCCATGGATGAAATTATCATTCCAATCCAACATCTCTAACTTTGACAAATTTGATACACTTGGAGGAATAACACCTTTAAAACTATTATTACGAAAAATTATTTGCTGAAGAGAAAATAGACTTCCAATCCAAGCTGGAATTTTCCCATGAAATTCATTAGAGCTCAAATTGAGAATTTTCAACTTATGTAACTGCAGCAACTCCTTTGGTAACTCACCATGAAAGTTGTTACTATGAAGGTCAAGTTCAACAAGGGAGGACAAATTCCCCACTTGTGAAGGTAAGGTACCCTTGAGACTCGTGTCAGCAAGATTCAATACACTTACTCTCTCGCCGTTAGCATCACAAGTAACCCCAACCCAATTGCAAATGAAAGAAGAGTTGGACCAATTAGCCAAGTGATTGAATGGGTCTCCCACAGAATTTTTGAAAGCAAGAAGTGCTAATTCATCGTTTTTGGTGAAATTGGTTTGACATAAAGTTGGGGAGATGATGAGATAGCAAAGTATTGTGAACATCGAGAAGAAAAAATGAAACCAAAGGTTGGCCATGTTGGATTGATTTAAGGCTTATAAGATTGACGAGAACGATGAAGAAGGTCATGCTGTATATATATATATGCCTCAAGGTTGATAAGCACTGCTCATAATGATAATAAAAGCCGAATAAAATGTGAACCTAATAAAAGCATTTATATTTTGTGGTGGGAAAAAAGTGTACTACTCGAATTCTTCTCAAAATAATTAAATAATGTGCCAACTAGTCAAATTCTAACAAAGAAACAATATTGTGCCATTTTTTCCATGGTGCGGTGGGTATTCGAGTTGACTTGGTTTGACCAAGAAAAATATGTAGACAAATAAAAAAAAAATTGTCACAACCCATATGACTTAGCTTGTTTTTCTCTTGAGAAGAGAGACAAGATAATATCTGCCTTACGTGCTAAGTGAGAATGGAAATAAAATAGAAAGAGGATGGAGAGGATCTGTTTCATCATCGAGCTTTTGGTTTGATAGTAGAGACATGTTGGACCTACAACTAAGACGACGCGAAGATAAGAAATGGCAAAGCGAATAGGTTTGGCTATCGAAATAATAAAATGAAGGGGGGCTGGCCTGCTAGGGAAGATGAAGAGGTTCACATCGGTTCCTTTCATCACAATAGGAGTGAAAAATCAATCAGATTTCTTATTATTTTCCAAAATGTCACCGCCTCTTCTTTTTACACTTGTTTCTTTTTAACCGGCATGAAATGTTGATCTAAAATCATATATTTGTAGTAGTATTCACTGAACCTCAATATTCTGAATACTATTATTATTGTGCCATTTTAACATGCATATGGATTGATTGGCTTAAAAATTTTCACCGTTAGTGAGTTGTGAAAATACTCAGCACAATCTCATTTATAGAACATAATAATTTTGCTATCAATGAAATAAAATTAATATATATGCATGGCGTACTTACCTTCAAGCTATATAAAATCATGTTTAGTAAAAAAATAATCTATAATTCATTTTTTTGATAAAATCTATAATTCATTTTTAAATCAACTATATAGTTTATTTGCAAGAGAAATAAAATGGGGAAATGACATTAAAAGAACCAACAGCTTCAATTAAGCTTAAACAAGGACCAAAAGATTTGGAAATGAAAAATAAGGACCAAAGATCCTTTAGTAAGTTGGTCTAAAAATTTGCTACTTTCATCCCCATAATTTGCAATCATCAGAAGAAGAATTAGATAATAAAATTTGCTAATTTAAACAACTTCCAAGTAATGAAGTATAAATATTTTAATTAATAAGATATTAAAAATATAACATTTTTAATTACTTACCGGTGTTTTTGCTGTCAACGATATAATTCAATAATAAACTAGTAGATAGCCGGTTAATGTGGATGGTTAAAATGATATTTTAGTATTTTACATAAGGAAAAAATAACATTGGTCCTTTGTAATTTAGTTGTAATTTAGAAGATTTAATTGATATTAATTCTAATAGGATACTTGTTTGTATTTTTTTAATATTTTAATAATTTTTTAAAATATTCAAATTAATTAATTGTCAAAGTTAACATTTATTAATAATAGGGACAACATTGCACTAATTTTATATGTTGAATAGGACATTGCACCACAAAAAAGTTAGGATATCATCATCATATACTCCTGGGTGAATGGTTGATAGTTAAAAATATGATTTAACCTAATAAAAAATAAATTTGATAGGGAGCTATTAATGGAAGGAAAAATGTTACTATATTTTATTATTATATATATATATTGATATATATACACGGACTTATGATATAATTACAAAACGAAGTCCATAAAACATAGCCCAAGAAAATTACGTACCAGGCTTAAAAAGGATTTCAAAAAAATTTATTTAATTTGTCGATCTTAAATAAAAAATATACCAAAAAATATAATTCAAAAAATAACAGCTAGACATATCATAAGATAAACAATTTGTTCATTATTAGGGACATAGATATTTTTCCTTTATATTTATCACTGATTAGATCTAATGAGCTCCACTCACCCATGGGGTGTCGGTATTTTCATTTTCCCATGAAAAGATAGTCCCAAGAAGAAAATTTGAAAAATATGTGAGAAATTCCGAATGAAGCGTAATGTGCATAATTACCACTTGAAAGTAGAACCATTTTTTCAAGCGAAAATTCCTTTGAGTGAATTCCATGAGAAATTGTTGAAAAATTGGGAAAAAAAGTATTAAGAAAAAAATATATGAACATTTTGGATTAAGCGTACTATCTTCTCTTCGGTTAGCTTAATGACATCAATATGCATCTCGCCACCTTGGTTCTCTTCCCACTTCCAATAAAATCATAGGAAAAATTAAATTGTTTGTTTCAAGTTTTGAAATAGGCCTTTATAGTTTATACTTTCAGAAACAATTGCATGAAGTTTGTGTGGTCAAATATGTTAGTCGCTTAAAGTCCACTTTTCACTTCATTTTTTTTTTACTTCCCTTATTAACTGACAAAAAAATTCAAAATAACCAATATAAAAAGTTCTTCCTACAGTAGTGTATGTTTTTTTTTTCAGGCACATAAATTATTAGTTAAAAAATTGACTTGTAAAATGGTGTGTGTAAAATTGTATAATAATAATAATAATCTCACGTTATTTTGATCAAAACTACATTTTGACCAAATCCAACTAAACAAACACATACCATTTCATTTCTTTGTTATTACGAGAGCCTTTGGTTTTACAAACCAATAAATGGGCTTAGCTGTAATGTCCCTAGAAAAAGTGATTGGAATTAGGTTAATTAACATTATATGAATGTAATGATGAAGCGTACAAGAAACTCTTTACCCGCATTTACAATGTTGGGGAAGATATTGGCGCATTTAATTATCAACTTGTTGGAGAAGATACAAGACCACATATTATTGCCCCGCTTCCTCTATGCCAAGGACATATGAGTTTACTTGACTTGGAAATGCAACACTCTTTGATTATAAAATCAAATTTATTCCACAATAAAGATATACGGATTGTCTTGACTAGGAAAAATTATGTATAAAGTATGAATTTTCACCATTCATGACTTCTTTTTCTCTTTGGCCATGTTAATGAGTTATGTTAAAAAAAGAAACAGAAAAAAGAAACCACCCCAATTCATAGAACCTCCACATTATCAATGAAATAATTAAAACAAATATATAAATTATTTTTATTCCATTCAGCTATAATTGTGTAATTTTCTTTACACAATGACTATATGAATACACTAACAAAAAGATAACTACCATTTATAATTTTTTCTCTTAAAACAAAATAGATGGGAGGTCAGTCATCAATGTATCTTAAAGATAAATTCAAATATAATTACAAATAGGACTTTACAATATAGCGTGGAACAACTTTGATTGAATTTGAAATAAGATATAACAGCGCTTATACATATTGATGTCAATAACAAGTCCTAGGAAATGAATTAAGAATAATAATAATACTAATAACAACAATAGAAAAGTTACAAATATAAAAGAGTTGTGAACTTAGTCTATAGCGTTGAATCTATACCCAGTCAATTATGAATTAATGATAATTAATGGATGAATGTGAAAAGGATAATTAATTGAACATGCTAATAAAACATAATTTCAGAATTTTTTTGCAAAGTATTTTCAGAATATTATTAATTAAAATATTATTACCTGAATTTTTTTTGGCCAATCATAAAATAATTTATTTTTGGCTAATTTGTATGCAAAATAATTAACATTCACCTTACCTCATCGGTAATAACATAAAATATTATTTTCAAGGAAGACTATATTATTGTGCCCCTTTCTACATGCTAGTAGCGATATATGAGTTGACTTGATTTGGTATGTAAGCAGAAAAATGATATAAGATTCTTTTTCTTCGACTATAACATCAATAAGCATTGTAATGTATAGGAAACTTTCTCACTTATAGAACCTCAACAGATTTGGTTATCATTTAAAATGACAATATAATATACCTATAAAATATTGAATTGAAAAATTATTTTGATGTAAAAGTATTTCATTGTTAATTTAATTTTGGCTAATTTTTTAAGCAACAAGATTTATTTTCTTCTAATTATAAAAATCAAAATATACAATGATAATTGTTAGTGAGTGACATTTGACATTGATCATTGTGTCATTTGTTCAACATTAGATATATAAGCTGTATTTTTTATCCGTTTATTTTTGTAAAAGATATATGAGCTTGAATAAGAAAATTATGAACATCAGACATATTTCCATATGCCCCACCCACCATTGGCAACTTTTTTAAATTAGTGAATTGAGAAAAAGAAAACAACCCAATTTATAAAACCTTACAACCACGTTTTGTACCAGGCCTCGTGATAGCATTTGAAGTGCATTTTTATGCCAAACACCTGACAAGGATTAGCGGAGGTTAGTCCATGTGTCAATTTGTCATGTCCCATCAAAACAACCTTGACTGGCACAAAGTACAAGGTAAACCTCTCTTTATAAGCCTAATCAATTTAAATTTTTCTCATTACACTTGATAAAAATCGACTTTACTAATGTAATGTAAATTAATATTATAATATTCATTCATGAATGTCTGTAAAAATTTCAGTATAAACTCCTTCAAGAGTTGGATTATTATTATTATTATTATTATTATTATTATTATTATTTCTTACAAATAAAAATTCTTAGGAAAATTAATTTTATATGTTAAAGAATTGTTTTTATATGTTTTTTCTAGTCTATTTTTTTACTTGATACATAAAAAATTGATTTTACAACTTACAACACTCACATTATTTTTCTTTTGATCAAATAATTCAACTGATCAAACACATATTCATTAATTTCTTTGTTATTATGAAAGACTTTGATTCAACAAACCAATAAATAGGCTTGGCTGTGATGTCACTAGAGAAAGTGATTGAAATTAGGTTAATTAACATTATGTGAATGTAATGATGAAGCATACAAGAAACTCGTAACCCTCATTTACAATGTTGGAGAACATATTGGCGCATTTATCAACTTGTTGG